CTTTTTGAAACCTACAAAATGTATAGCTTTGCATGTACAGTGTAATTAGCACAAATGGTTTCCATGCGTATTTTATTATTTATCATTAAATAATTATATGAATATTGAGGCACTGAGAACAATGCTAGTTTTTGGATGTTCAGCAATCCTCATGTCATGGAAAACCAAAACAATGAGTGAGAAACGGGGGGAAAAGTTTCTTTAGAACTAACGGGAAGTGTTTACTTTTCGTGTTCGTCATGACAAACAAGTGTTTTTGATTTACACGTAGTGCTGTGAATGTATTTTTAAAAAGTTGATTAGTGCAGCTTTAATTGGAGTCCTCAACATTCTGACCAACACAACCAGTTTGTTTTTGCAGTCGCCTTATTTAGTTTCCAAATGTCCATTGGCCCAAACAACTGACCCTTAGCAATTTTTAGCTTTTTAGTGTGTGTTGGTTGTGGTGGGGAAGTTGGGACATATTTCCTCTTGGTGACATTCCTGAGCCTGCAGGCTGTGTGTGTGTAGGAGCCGATGTGAAGCGCATTGTATTGTACTGCTGGTGTGTGAGGTCAGCACTTTCCTTCCCCCATGTCAGTCCATCACCCCCGCCTCCCCCAAGCACAACACACCACCCACCCGCCCTTCACTGCTAACAGGACGAGCCCACAGCGGAAACCGGAGGTCACCTAATCCTTTGGTGACTCCCCAACCCGTTGGCTCAGGGCTTTCCATTGTCGGTCGATGCCGAGCGGCCTTGCTCAGCCGCTTTCCATTTCGTTGTCCTCCCTGATAACCTTTATTGTTTATTGGTGCATTTCGGTCTCATTTTGGCCACTTCCCCTAGCCAGGAAGCAGACAGTGATCAGCATTCAGCGTGTTACCTGTTGGCTTGTTGTGGTGTAGTAAAACGGGTGTCGCGTTTGCCACCTGGTCGTCTGGCTCTACCAAGCAGCTTTGCGGAAAACCACTTGAAGCTGTCCGTGTTGGCTCACCTCAACCAGTACTGGTTTCTTCGATGCATCTGCAAAACCTTAGAAACGCTGAGCACATTTCGTGTCTGCTTGACTCGACCTTTCTCTCCCAGTTTTCCTCCTCCTGTCAGTGAATCTGGGTGGACAAAGGGAGTGAGAGGCGAAAGCAGATCGGGGAATTTATTGTGTTTGTTAGCAACCCCAGATGAAAGCCTGAGAGCAATTGTAAAACAGATGTAATGCCCTTACAGCTGCTCCATTGGTCAGCTAATCCCTTTGACTAATGCTTCTCTACCCACCCACCCCCAACATGCACACATGCACACTCTGCTCTCAGCCCTTACACCTTTACTGCCTTCTGCTGCTCTCCCCTCCTTTACCTCCGTGACCCCCACACCCCAGCTCATATTACCAGTTCACCTCCTCCAACACAGACCCCCATTGTTCCACTACCTCCGAGTACCCCGAAATGCTAATGGCGTGTTGTCACCCTACATACAAACAAAATGACATGACATATTGCAATTACAGGTTTGTCCCAAGGTGGAGAAAAACAGGGGGATGGGGAGTGTAATAAGAAGACAAGGGTACACGCAAATGCCTTCAATTATACTCGGGGAGCCGTTCTGATTAAGATCTAGACATTGCATTTATTTCTTGGTTGGTATTATTTTTGCAAGATGTTTTTTCTTTTCTGTTCACTGGCTGTAGTTCTGAATTTATCCTTTCTCTCTCCCTCCTCCTCCTCCTCCTCCTCACTGCGAGCATGTGTTTGTTTTACTTGGCCACTGACTCCCTGTAAGCCATGCACAGTTTAACTCACAATTGCCCTGAGGCAGACATGACCTTACTGCCTTTAAAAAGCCCTGCACTGGCTTCAATTGTTGGGGGACCAGGGGGGTTTCCCCTTACCATGTGCTGCCCGAGTCCTGAGGGCCGATTCCTGTTGTTGAGCCACCATGTTACCCATTCATCCATCTTTCCGACCGTGCATTCATCATTTCGGCGTCTCCATCCATCTTAACTTCAGCTGACAAGCCTTATGGGGTGGCCATCGGAGGCTCCCACTCCAGAGCCACTCAGGCTCCCAGCAATGTAGCGGGCCCCTGCACTCACTCTCAATAAACAAACACAGAGCCACTCGAGGCACACGGGGCCTCTCAAATGACAAACAGTTCCTTTCTTTGTAGCTACAGGGAGGGGAAAAAATGGCCAGTCTAACTTTGTGAAATGTTTCAACTCTGAAGAAGCTGGCTGAGAGACATTTGTATACACGATCATTCATCTAAGGAGCCCCCCCCCCTCTCTTTGTGGGTTTAGTGCCTCTGTTCGTGTTGGGTCAACACATTCTGGCTTCCTTTTGGGTTATTATTCTGTCTCAGGTCTCTGGTAGCCACAGCGGCGGTTCTTCTCCTGGTCACGCTCCCCTTATGCTTCCATGCTTTGATTGGCTGCTTTAGGAAGGAAGTCTGCGTCAGTCTCACACTTCCTGTTTCCTGTTGTGTCCAGCAACAATCCAAAGCCCCTCTCTCCACCTTCTCTGTGGAACAAGGAAGTTGTCTTTCACCGGTCTTTTCTCCTTTGTCGAGGAATTTTCTCATCAAATACCTCAGCAGAGAATCATCTACTTTCATTTACCGTCACAGTGACTCAAATGTTCATGATACACAAACTCCTTGACCTTTTTTTTGTTACAGCTGAGACCTGGGCTGAAAATGAATCTGCTCTCAAGGCGCTCTGGTACAGGCCTCCTGTTGGGTGGTGTGCGCTGGAATGCATCTTGATTATAGAGGGGACTCGCAGAGTAAGGCCATCATCTCCGCAGGCCTGACCACGATGCATTGCAGCCGGCACTGTAGCGCCAAAAAGAGGCTAGTCCTCCTCTTTTCAGTTGCCATGTGGCATTCCGGCTATTCCCATCTGCAGCGCTTGGTTGTTTGTATGTTTTCTTTTTTTTTTTTTCTTCTTTCAGCACTTGAATGGCATTGCATTCTCTTTGCCTGTTGGTCAGCGGTGAATAGCAATGTTAATGGGTTAGCTGGGAGGCTTTTTAGAGGCGACCGGGAGGAGAGAAAGGAGAGGAGGAAGGAATTTGGGGATTACGAGGAGGAGAGGTAGGGGTATGAATCGGGGTTTGAGGCAGCAGCTGTTCCCCCTTCTCAATGAGCGAGTTCACCCTGCCCCGTCTCCTTTCTTTCTCCCCTCTTTTCTTCAGTCCTCAGCAGGATACAGTATTTCTTCTGTCCCCTTCACACCACCACTCTCCTGCCTCTCCTGTCCTCTTGCCTCGTCTGCGTTAATGAGTAGCAGTAGCTGTTGGTGAAACAGCTGGCTGAGACAGAAACGAGGCGCTGTCTTGAGGGAGGATTGAGTAACGCGTAAGCCTGTTGGCCAAACTTTAAAAAAAAACAAAACAAATACCTCAAGCTGAGCGTCTTTTTCTGTCTTATAATCCTTATATAACACACACACCCGTTCACAGCAGCGCAGCTCCCAACCCGCAAAGATTGAGGAAAAAAAATAAACGAAGCTGGAGTGAAATGTATGGTTTATTGAGGAAATCCCCTTGATATATCTTAAACAGAGCCACAGCCATGTGCTGTCTGTCTTCTTTTTGTGTGTGGGCACTTGTAGGTTTCAGATAAACTTTGACTCATTTCGACCTCAGTGAAAGAATTCTGCGTGAATCTGATTTTATCGTCATCCTCGGCTCTCCTTTATAAGTCGCCCCTGTTGAAACGCGTACATTTTGCCTTTGATTTGAATGTTTTGTTGCTTTTCCTCTGTCAGCGGCGTTAACCACAGTCTTTGAATATCATGAAGGGTTCTTACATTGTCTGATCTCTTTATTTCTAGCACCTCTTTTGAATTTTTTTATCACTTGAACCTTTACAAGTGAGAAAATGTAAAGGTCTGTCATTAGCTATTTACTCCAGGACTTGGAACAAAGGCAGAGATGTCTTTTTTTGTGTTTGTGTATGTATATATTATGTATATGTGTGTGTAGTTGAACTGACTTAGCAGAGGGATGTGAACAGGTGACAGGCAGTGGACATAATCCCTGTTCTGATGTCAGATTGTCCCATGTGTCCAAGGCTGTGCTTTGCATACATGTATGTGTATTTTGTGCATGTGTTCGGTGCACACGTGAACGCGTGTGTGGATGAATGTGCAACGGCGTGAGGACACGAGCGGCAGCAGGCGTTGGAATGCTCTCGCGGAGTTAATGGGGAGCCATCTCGTTTTCACTCCCCTTTACGGCACGCTCTCTCTGAGATTTCACACCACATTAAGTTCGTATTTCACCGCGGCTACGCACAGCTGGACCCCTACCTGCGTCTCTTTATTCAGAGTTGGACGTGTGAAATCGGGTGTCATCTTATCTGAGCGATACAGTTTCAAAGATCTGCATGTGGTTCTGTAAAAGGAAAAAAAATAGAGACGATGGATTGTCAGGCGCACGCGGATGCAGTTTTGGGCTGATTCTTGGTGTTTTTAATGAAAGCTGTTGCTTCCATTCCTCTCTCCCGCTGCAGCACTGAAAACCTAAGTATCGTCAAATGTGGCATAACTGGTTTTGCTTTGAGAAACAGTGAGAAGCCAGCAGTGGAGTGAGGGAGGAGGCGTTAGTGGTTGAAAGAAGTAAAGGGCAGGAGTGCAGGCTGGGTTGGGCTCATCTGAGTATTTTAATAAGTAGAGCCAGCACCATGCAAACTCTTGCACATGTTTTCCCTACAAAATATCTTTCACTTGGAGGTGGCTGAAGCTCAGGAGGTAGAACAGGTCATCTGCTAATTGGAAGGTTGGATCAATCCCTGTCTGCAACCAGCAAATTACTGAGCCCTGTATAAATGTGACTTTTAGTCTTGACATGTCAACTTAGCCTGATTGTGTTGCACATGAGGTCAAAAGTTCACAGCATTGCTGGTCTATTGACGGGTGTAGAAAGATCTGGAGAAACTAGCTTTGCATTGTCATTTGGGATGCTGCCTGAAGTCATTTGTTGTTCTGCTGCTTATGCAAATGTCATCTTTGTCTATGCAGAATGTCGGCCTGGCTCTTTCAAAGCGGAGGCATCGAGTGACGCGTGCGAGCCATGTCCTGCCAACACCGATACGCTGCAACATGGTGCTGTGCTTTGTCCCTGCAAGGATGGTTTCTTCCGGGCCCCAACCGACCCCTCTACTGGACCCTGCTCAGGTGAGACCCGTAGAAGAAAAAAAAAAGAAACATTTGAAATGAGGATGTGTTTGCTACTCGGCCAGTGCAACCAGTGCCATTTCCACACGTGACCTTTCCAGTGTGTAATGAAAACAGACATTTTAAAAGTGACTGTGAATCCTTCAGGATGTGCAGGGGTGTGTTTATGGTTTTGAACTGGCAGCATGACTTTCAGCCGACACCGGACATGTTTAAAAGTTATTTTTATCAAACTACTTTTCTAAAAAAAAAAAGTATATTTCCAGTCATAGCTGAAAAAAAAAAATCCCACACATCTGGCATCGTGTGCTTCTCTTCTTTGTTGCTCTTAATGCTGCGTGCATTTCAAACCTGTGCTCACCAGGCCCCCCCTCTGCGCCACGAGATCTTTCGGCTGTCCGTCAGCCCTCCGTGGGAAGACTCATCCTCTCCTGGACCCCCCCTGAAGACACCGGAGGTCGTAATGACATCACCTACAGCGTGGAATGCCAGCGTTGCGATGGGGTTGTGTGTCAGCCCTGTGGGGAGAGAGTTCGCTATGAGCCGGGGAGCACGAAGCTGACTGAGGCCAGGGTGTCAGTGAGCGAGCTGGAAGCTCACCTCAACTACACCTTCATCGTGCAGGCGCACAGCGGCGTGTCGCAGTGGGCTAGTGGGGCTCAGCGGCCAGCATCCAGGAGCAATGTCACTATATTTCTGCACTACACAGGTGAGCGCAGCTGATATGAAGCATCAGTGTGGGGCTATCTGTGAGGTAGTGACAGCTCCACAGGTTGAAAGATGACCTGTCGGATTTTATCTCTAAAGTCTAACTATTATTTTATCTACTGTTTCCTATATCCTCTCAGCTTTTCACATAAAAAAAACCCCTAATATTCTCTACCCTCTCCTTAGATCCCCCCCAAATTACCTCAATGCGACTGGTGGGACAGACCTCCACCAGCCTGGCTCTTTCCTGGGATGTCTCCCCTCGACCACGTGCCCAGCTTCACATCCGGTATAAACTAACTTACCACAAGAAGGTGAGCATCTTTTGTTTTTCTCACCAGGAATGCCCTGAAATCAAACTTTGTCTTATGTATCATTTTGGTTTTGTGTCAGTGTATGTGTGTTTCGCATGTTGTTGAAATAACAGATCCACTGGATCTAGTTTGAGTATTCATAATTATCATCACGAGGCATTTTCAAAATCAGACATCACCATTTTGGCCATAAGCTTAAGCCACTGATTTAAATGCTATAAATGGCTGCAGGATCACATCTTCTGCAGTAACACTGGCTGCTTAGATCCAATTTCTTCCTCTGCCTTCCAGGATGATAACCTTGATAAGACTACCTACACGGTGCTCACGCTCGACAAGAACTCTGCGCAAATCAAAGATCTGGCCCCGGGCACGGCCTACCTGTTCATTGTGCAGGCTCTCGGCAGCGATGACAACTCCGAAGGCTCCAGAAAGGAGGAGCATTTCGAGACCTTGACTGAAGGTACGGAGCAGAATCCCTCTACAAGTTTCACTAGTTTCATGCAGATGTGTGCGTCTAACCTCGTTTCCTCTTCCAGGAAGCCCGTCTCAGAACTACACAGTCTTATTAGTGGCGGCAGTTGGGGTGGCGACGATGCTGATCGTAGTGTTCGCGTTCCTTTTCTTCCACAGACGGTCAGTAAACGCTTCCCTTCCCTCCACTTTCTGTCTGCTAATCGGTCAGAATAAGTCCTCCTCCACCAGCTTCCTCCCTCATTCTTCTGCTTTTCCTTTTTGAGGGGCCTCCAAATGGCCCCCACATTCATCTCTCCTCACCTCTCACTTTTTCTCTTCCTTTAGCCAGCTTTCTCTTTTTATTTATCTGGATTTGTGTCCCAGCATTCACTGGCGAGGAATTTGCGTTGAATGTGCCTTGTCATTGCTCAATGGTGATATTCTAGTGAGTGTTGGGTGGGTAGTGGGAGGGCCCTTGAAAGGAAATTTGCCCAGAGTGGTACATTGTTGGTGATAAGAGGGGCTTGGTTCTTTCTGCACCAGGCCACGGGTACTTTGTCAAAGGTGACCTGGGTCTCTGCTGTAGCAGATTGTACTGTAGCCCGCCTGTCTACTTCCCTCCCTCCCCGCCTGCTCGTCTGTCTTTCAGTCTTTAAATCAGCTTTGCAAACACAGCCTATCGACAGCCGCTATCAAAGGGCCACTTCTTTCTGAATGGATGCAGCAGTGTTGGTATCCTTCTGAAAGCCTTAGAGCAAAAGAAAAATTGCTACAAAGGTTTCCATGTGCTCTTGATGTTAAAGGAGGAAAATAATAAAGAGATAAAGTAGGGCATTAATTTGCAGATGGATTTTATTTATTTATTTATTCCTTTTTTTTGTTTTGTTTTTAGAAAAAGGAACTCTCACACCAGGCAAGGACCAGAGGACACGTACTTCTCCACCCCAGGTAAAAAAAAAAAAAAATTCTCCCACCTTTCTGTCTCATTTCAATGAATTGACTTGATTTATTTGTCGACCTACGATAACAGTGTTTGTTGTTGTTGTCGCTTCCTTTGGTTGACAGAACAATTGAAGCCTCTGAAGACCTACGTGGATCCACACACATACGAGGACCCCAACGTGGCCGTCCTCAAGTTTGCCACCGAAATCCACCCCAGCCACATAACCAAACAGAAAGTCATCGGAGCTGGTGAGTGACATCCCTGCTGAGACGGTCTGTTGTGGGTCTTAGCTCTGAGACGTTGAAAGATTTTTCCAATCCCCCAAATTCGCTGTTTACATTGTGCATTTTCCACAGCTTAGCAGGGTGACTGACGGTGGTTACTTCCGTGAGATTAACATCCGTCAACAAGTTGAGACATTTTATCGTATGGCAACTTCTTGGCTGTGGCACCTTTTTTGTCGTGGCTCAAGTTGACACTTACACAAAAAAGGAACTGTTGCAAGAACGGTGTTTTGGAACGATATCAGAGCACCTTCCTGAGCGCTGTCTGCTTCTTCTTTTTTTTTTCCCATTTTCTGCCCCACATGATGATATGTTTACTCAACTGCGACCACCTTTTACCCTGTAAGCAAACGGCCTTTTCCAACACCCACTTCCCATGACCGCGTGCCCCCCACCCGTTCTCCTCTCGTGACAGCTGATTCCCATGCCCACCCCCCACCACCACCCTGAACTACAGGCTAATAAAACAACAACAGAGAATCAGGCTCTGAGAACACACCTCTATGAGAGAGCCCCGGGCAAAACAGCCGCACAGACTTCCTCATTTTCAATCTGTAGCACAGCCAAACCCCTGTGGGTAAAATCTTGAGATGTATCAGATGCATGTTCCAATATTGGGCATCTAGTTTTCAACTCAAGTGTCTGAGTGATGGTGTTTTTTCTTTTTTTGTTGCAGGGGAGTTTGGCGAGGTGTACCGCGGTATTCTGAAAGCGCCGGGGAGGAAAGAGGTGGCAGTGGCTATCAAGACACTGAAGCCTGGCTACACCGAGAAACAGAGGCAGGACTTTCTGAGCGAGGCCTCCATCATGGGCCAGTTCTCCCACCAGAACATCATTCGCCTAGAGGGAGTGGTTACCAAATGTAAGGGTTTCTGTGAGTTTGACCGCTTCTTTTCTAAGTTTTATATGTTTCAGTTGTTTTGGTGCAATGGAAAGATGTGTAATTTATTATTCTTGGTGGCTTCTTTGTGCAGTTAAACACGCCATGATCGTAACTGAATACATGGAGAACGGAGCTCTGGATAGGTACCTCAGGGTAAGTCCACAACATACAGTTTTTACTAATGCAACTATCTCTGTGATGTATAGCCACAAAGAAGCTGTTAAAAACACAAGAACGAGCTCTGAAGTTCAGAGTTTGATCCTTTTTCTGTTTTGTTTTTTAAGTTATTATAATAACTGTTTTGTTTCTTACACCAGGACCATGATGGTGAGATTTCTTCCTTCCAGCTGGTGGGCATGCTGCGTGGCATCGCTGCAGGCATGAAGTACCTCTCTGACATGAGCTACGTCCACCGAGACCTGGCTGCCCGCAACATCCTCGTCAACAACAACATGGAGTGCAAAGTGTCTGACTTCGGCCTGTCCCGGGTGCTGGAGGACGATCCTGAGGGCACGTACACCACAAGCGTGAGTATATGTGGGCCTTCCTGAGAGCTTTTCTCCAGCCAGAATCATCTTACCACGTTTTAAAGATCTGTTTCTTACCGTTTTTTAACATTTTTTTTTTCTCGCATAGGGAGGTAAAATTCCGATTCGCTGGACAGCTCCAGAGGCAATAGCATACAGGAAGTTCACCTCGGCTAGTGACGTGTGGAGTTTTGGCATAGTCATGTGGGAAGTTATGGCTTTTGGAGAAAGACCTTACTGGGACATGAGCAACCACGAGGTATGTGCCAGACAAGCAAACTTCATAGAATTTAAAAAAAAAAAAAAAAAAAGACCACAAAGTTTGAAGAACCCTGCCATTTTAAAGAGAAAAAACAAACAAAAAAAGGGCTAATGAGATCAACTGTTTCCAGGTGATGAAGGCCATCAATGAAGCTTTCAGGCTCCCGGCACCTATGGACTGTCCCTCAGCCGTTTACCAGTTGATGCTGCAGTGCTGGCTCCAGGATCGCGCCAAGAGGCCACGTTTCGGAGACATAGTGAGCCTGCTGGACAAGCTGCTGCGCAGCCCAGAGTCCCTGAAGACCATTGCAGACTTTGACCCACGGTAAGATTTATTTAAACACTAGGCAGAGGGCTTATAGTGCATATTTTTCTAGCGCTGACTCTACAGTGGCTGCCACTATCAGCAACCAGTTCTTGGAAAGAGCCCTTTAATCAAAACATTTGGCAATACAATAATAATATAAATTACTTCTTTTTCCCTCCTTCTGTCTCATTTATGTAAACGTCCTTTGAGCTCTTTCAGCTTCCCTTCTGCTAGATGTTAAGACGGAGCCATGCGATGTGCATTGAAGACTATGCACATCATTATTAACAAGTCTGTCAGGGAAATGACTCAGTTTATTTAATAAATCAAGGCTTTTTTCTTTCTTTTTTTTAACAGTTTGACTGACGTCTGACTGGACTTTTGTCACAGGCGTTTTAAAACGTGACTAATCTGACTCGACACTCAGCTCAGAGTTGGCCGTCTGACTTCAGACTCAACCTTTCCTGGCTTCAAAAGAGAGCTTTAGGCAGCAGCTCAACCATTAAGTTTAATTTTACAAAATTGCAGGATGTTTAGGGTCAACTGGGGCAGTGGCAGTGTTTAAGATGTTATACTTAAAAACATCAGGACACACTGACACCTTTGCTGTTGGGCTAATGGAAGAATTATGCGTGCACTCCTTTTAGAGGAAGACTAAAGATTTTTTTTGTTGTTGTTTTCCGTTCTTTTGTTTTTGATGTTTTTTGTGTGTGAGAATACATACTTTCACCTTTGTGAAAAAGCATTAGAGCCAGAAACGGTGAGAAAGGACAAAGGATGCCACGCTATCTTTCGCCCCAACTCCTCCGACTGGTTTTTATCACTGGTTTCCTGCACAGTAATTGCAGTTCAGTCATCAGCCTTTGTTGTGGGGAAAGCCTGCTGATTATTATCATTTGGATCCATTTTACTTTACCAGCGTATCCATCCGCTTGCCAAGCACCAGCGGCTCAGATGGCTCTCCCTTCAGGTCGGTGTCTGAATGGCTGGAGTCCATCAAGATGAGCCAGTACAGCGAGAACTTCACCTGCGCCGGGATTGTCGCCATGGAACAAGTCCTGCAGATGAAAACTGAGTACGTGTGACATGATATTAAAGTAGCAGTTATCTTATTTGCTCACGGGTTTTAAGATTGTAGATCCAAAAATTGCACACTTGTTTTTCCTCCCAGCCCCTGACGGACTTCTCTCGGGCAGTTCATGTATCTGTTTTCCCAAAGATGTTAAGTTTTAACAGCCAGCAAAATAGTTTGCACTCAATATAATCGCCAGCCTCGGTTACAACTTAAGAAATGTTTGAGATGGAAAATTTAATCGAGGGAAGGAGAAGAAGTGGGGCTCATTTGTGGTCGGCTGATGGTGGTGGCTTGTGGTTACTGCAGTTCTTATTTTTCTTGCCCTCCTCCATCCTTTCTCTCCCCCCTCCCTGCACCCAATCACACCCGCTGCCCTGGACGGCACTTTTACTCGAGCCCCTAACAAACCGCCAGTTTTGCCCGTTTAGATCGGAGGCCTTTTGTGGCTTCTTCGACATTAAAGTAGGGGAAAGAGGGGGGGAGGAGGGAATAGGCTGTAGAGGAGCAGCAACTAGAGGAGATTACTGAATTGAAATGGATGGATGTGATTTCTGGAGAGATTGAAGAGGTGCGCTCAGAAAGTACTCCCTGAACTCATCACAAGATGGTCGAGGCAATTAGATCTTCCCTGACTCCCCCGGTTACAAAAGGGGTAATTTAATGAGATGAACTCAACGTTTCGGGAAGAAAGGCTTAGTGAAGCATATAGTATAAGGTTGCTTTAGGTCTATAACGAGGGCCAGAGCATTTTCTAACCACATGACCAACCAAAAATAAACCCCTCCACACCCCATTCTGCCACAACGTATATATGTAGGTCTTGATCTTGGGAAGATGGGCAGACTGTGAAGCAGAGACAAACCCTTTTGAAGTATTTGTCATACTGTATGGTGTGATTTCATGGCCCCATGTTTCCATCTCGGGGCATCTGGTAGCACTCTTGGAAAACCAGCAGTTATTTACAACGCGCCCCCTGCTTGCCAGACAACTGATTCATCGTCAGCAGGGAGAATCCTTGTTAAGTAATTAAGGCTGTAATTAAGGCTTTGACTTTAGGCTGCTGCGTTGCAGGGCTTTCGCAGGTTCGCGTCGTGCGCTCGTCGAGCCCCCTGTGATGTCCTTTTTTTCATTTTTCTTATGAAAGATCAATCAAAGCCTTGGCAGACTGCACACTTGGAAAGCATCCCACGTAGGCATGAATCGGTTCAGCTCCGGGCTGGCATTTCATCACGTCGAATGAGTCAGTGATTACTTCAAGGCTCGAGAGGCAGGAAGGATGTGCGTGAAAAGTGTTGGAATGTGGCCAGACTGTAAATCCATGTGGCGCTTCTCTTATATATCCTCCTTGGTGTGTGTGTCTCCTTTGCAGGGATATTAAGAACATCGGAGTGAGGCTGCCTGGACATTTGAAAAGAATTGCCTACAGCATCTTGGGCTTAAAGGACCAGACCAGCACACTGAGCGTGTTTGCAGTGTGATCTTTATAATGAAGGGAATTCAAATCAGGCACTGCAGCCGGCAGCCCTTTGAACTCTAAACGGAGCTGGAGCACTACTGCGGGGATGGCTTGGGATCATCAGAATCAAGAGGACTGTGCCATCCTTTCAGGCTGACTGAATAAGACAAGCTTACTGTACATTTTTTCTGATTTCTTCTTATCTACAGGGAATGGAGCAAATACACACCGACAAATATATCAAGTAGACTGTGTATATTTGAATATCTATTTTTTTACTATCCATAATTTCTGTACAGATGCAATTTTATCTTTATTTTCTCTATCTTTTTTTTTCCATTTACGGTTCATAAAACAGTCTACTCCTTGGAATGCTTTACACAAATCGTACCCTGAGCTTGTTGTATCCAGTACCAAACAAACAAGCGAAGGCACAGTTAAGGTGTGATCAGCCTTTTTGTTGTGACTGTGGTCGGCAGTGATGTCACAAAATCTTCCTTTAAATGGCACCTTGCTCCATTTCCTGTTAGGCCGGCCGGTGAGGACGGAGCGCCGCAGTGGCTGAAATGAGCTTGAGCTGGCCCAGAGTTAAAGAGATGGTGTTGCCTGGGTGCGTAAACACAGATGGACCTTGTGTTTTTACTGGCCGCCTCCTGGCTGTGTGCAGAAATTAAGCTATAATCTTATAAGTGATGTTTATATGAGAAAAAAAAGAGAGGACATGTGAGGGGTTGTCTGTAGACCCCCCCCCCTCTCTTAGTTTATAGGAACGAAAACCTACAATGTAGCACTTGGATCGAAGAATCAGGAATTGCAATAAAAAGTTTCCATTGGAATGCAGCACGTTTGTTTGTAGTGTGCCGGCAAACGAAGAGGGGGAAAAGAAAAAAACATACCCTGGGGAAAAAAAATGGGGAGGATTAAATAATGAGTGGTTGTGGTTGAGACAATTTCACACTAAATAATAGTTTGGTTTGCAATTTCAATGTCTCCTTTAGTTTTGTAAAAGCTTTACAGACATTCGTTCATATTCTTGTTGGTTTGGGTAACACGTCGACTGGATGAAGCTCTAGGAATAGACAGTTGCTTGATTTCCGACATTTAAAGACTTTATTTTTTTGTTAAAGTGCCTCTTTCTAGGAGTTTAGCGAGAGTTTGCTTCCATCTATATAAAAGAAGCGGCTCTATAATGTACCGTAGTAAGTAGTGGATAGTGGACAGTGTGCCCCAGTGCTTTAATTGATGACTGCAATGCGTTGTGTTACTGATGTACACCTTCCTTTACTTGAATTTTTAATGTATTTTCAAAGTGTATCTCTGATTCTGTTGTAGCAGTTAGACACCCATCTTTGGAAAAGGGATTTTTTTTTATTACTGTGTTTTATTGATTGCAGTTACATTTTGTATAGTTTTCATGATTTCGCTATTTACCAACTACCAAACGGATTATTTTTCTAAGTTTATCACTTTCCAAAGCAGCATCTCCTACTTTTTTTTTTTGCTTTCTTCCTTCATCAAAGAGCAATTTCCTCCCTTTGTGCCTGTTGTTTTATACTGTATTTAATAGTGTATTTATTTTGAACTTGTATTTATTTATCCTGATAAACATTGAGCTGGGTTTATAATTGGAGCTTGCTCTCTTATTGTCAGTAATTAAAAAAAAAAAAAAAAAAAAAAAAGGAAAAAAAAAAAGCTGTAATGTCCCTTTTTTCATTCCTGGTTTCTTTTTACTGCCTTTGTTGCATTTGCTGAGCAATAAAGTCTTGAGTTTGGCAAAGCCTGTTGCATGATGGACATTAAAACAAGCAGAAGAATGTGTCTTTTAAAAGACGCCATAATGTTTTTACACCCACCTGGGTATGCTGATGCTATTAGCTGTTTTTAATTCTAGAGTTGGAAACTGTAATAAAAATCAGAGTGCTCGACGAACTCTGTGGAAACGGATTACAAGGCTGCTCCTGAAAATGTTTTACAGCAGTTATATGATCTAACCAACATTAAAAAAAATCTCACATTTAACTCTGATTCCTGCATTTATTAAAAACTTATTTGAGTGTAACGTGGCATTTAATTACTTCTTGGGAAATGATCTGATGTGTAGTGCTGTGAAATTTTACAGTCATGAGAAAAGGAAAGTTTTCACTGGACTCTATGCAGTGCTGTGAAAAACTAAGAACACCCTTACTGCTTCCATAGGAATTATGAGGGTAGGTAAAAGCCAGGTGCAACAAGTCGATGAGCTGATCATCGGCGAACACGGCATGGAGGAGTCGTGATCTCGGCTTGTTTTGAAGCCACAGGACATGGCCAACTCTCAGTCATTGAGTCAACCATGAATTCCGCTGTGTACCAAAATATTCTAGAGTCTGATGTGAGGCCATCTGTGATGGCTAAAGCTTGGATTGAACTGGGTCAGGACGACGATCAGAACAGACTGACAGGAAAAAAAGCAAAAGTCCAGGTTTTGCAATTGTCTAAAGTGCTGCAGTGGGAAAGGAGGTTATGAGAGCTGTGCTTAGAGAAATGCCCACAAAGAGGCTAAAGTCGTATATAAAATGATCACATCAAGATATCGCTGCTCAATGTGGTTCTACAAGCTACTGAATCCTGGTGTGTGTATATGAGAACAAGAAAGGCAAATCTTACATCCTTATAGTATAGTCATGCATAAAAACCAGTTTTAGCACCATAGAAAATCTATCAATCATTTTTTAAGCATGAGATACAAGACAAAAGTGCAGAATTTCCCTCTGTTAGTTGTAGTGGAAGGTCGTTTCAGTTGATTACACGTTGGCCTTTTCCCATAATGTGGTCATTAAATTATCATTTTTACGTCACTACACTGAACTCGGTGACTGATAAAGGGGGAAAAAACCAGGCGTTTCCAGTTTTGGCAAACTTATTTTTAAAAAAGGACCAAAAACCCATAAAAACACCTGTTGAAAGGTCAGATTGTAGTTTCCACATTCTTGCGAATTCATGTGATGACAGATTACTATCATCTTCCAAATAAACTGATTCAGACAATCTGATTTAGTGGCTGGCAGGTTTGCAATGTCTGCGTCTGTCCGACTCTTCCTGGTTCTTGTCCCGTCCCGACAGCGTAACAAAGACTGTCGGGCTGGCGAAAAACAGGCTTAAAACAAAATGTGCTTACCAGAGAAGCTGAAAGGGTGACTATTAAGAGTGTCTTGTAATACAACAGAACATAGAAACGGCACCTACCTGTCACTGAGAGCAGCCACGCTTTTAATTGTCTTAATTTTAAGCCTTAATACAATATAAATGGGGGAGTTATAAGAAGATTAACCCATGACAAAGGACACTTGCTGTTCTTTTGTTTTTATCTAACCAGCCTGTAAACTGGTAAATTGGCCTTAAGTGTCCAGTTTAGGAGCTGCAGTTCTGCATTGTTTTCATTTTTCAATGCACCACAGGTTGCTGCTTGGTTCTTCCACACCTGTGATACTGCCTCTCTTGCTCTAGTGTCTGCACCATTATCTAAACTAACCAAAAAACGATGCAAAAAAAAAAAAGTCCCAGCGTGATTTCTAATACTGTAATTTTCACCTCTGCCCTGAAAATAAGAACGCACTAACCACAGATCAGCTATTTCTAATGCTGTGGGACAGGATTTTATAAAATAAAGTCATGTATGTTAACATCGGAGCTTTTCTTTTAGTCATCAGAATGAATAAGGCATTTCTTCCAGCAGGAATGTGGGTTTTCATAAATGTAACTGATCAGCGCAGTGCACTGAGCCAGGTTCAGTTTTTTTTCTTTTGCTGGTCCGTTCATGTAAACGATAGGGTTATAATTTCTCCTTTTTTCTTTTTCCTTATTTATCTTTTACACGGGACCGTCTCGGGCCTCAGAGTCTGCTGTGTGTCAGTCCACATTTGAACCGTGAATGACGACCAGCCCAGCAAACTTATAAATAAAATCACTGGATCACTGAAAAAGACATCAAGGCCGTTTTATATTTGGAGCTCCTTTCTATGTGACCTTCATGGGAAATAGAAATATTGGTGTTGAAACAGGAGAATGTTGTATCAGTTTCTTTTACATTCACACACCTGCTGAGGACAGAAATTACCAATAAAATGTAACCGTGCACAAGCCCAAGAATCCAACAAGTCTAGACATTCCCCATACTTCTCACTTCACCTTGACTGATCCACTGCGCCTTATCTGACTCACTCTAACCTTGCGCCCACATTTTGAAAATTTATCAGCTTTGATTTACTGATGTAAAGAGGGGGGGGGGGGGGGGACTTAAATGCACTCTTCAGATAAGAGCCACACACTACAAGGAGGAATGTCAATATTTAGATATTGAATTAATCTGCAGGCCAGTGTAGTAGCAAGAAAAAGACCCTACAGGGCCGGAGCATGGGAACTTGGATCTGCCGCTAAGTCCCTCACGAGTCTTTGTCCTTGACTTCCAGCTGGCTGCGTGTTCTTGCCTCTGTTAAACCAATAGGACGCCTAGGAATAGTCTTGGCTTTATGTGGCGACTGTAAACTGAGAAAGTATTCCACTATTTTCCATCCATGCCTTTAGTGTTTCACAGCGTGGTGGATTTTTTTCCCCTCTCTCTCTCTCTGTCTCTTTCCCTTCCAGCCGCTATGGAAAAAGAAGAGCAGAGCCACACAGTTTAACTGCTGATTGTACTGTTTGGATTTATGCAAATCCACGTCTGAGTGCGTCCAAGTTGAGTTCGGTTTACGTCCCTGTCGTCGGCTGTAATGCGATTATCCTCGCTCGCCGAGGGTTGAATGTGTGGAAGTTTGCGTCTTGTCATTAGGACTGTAAATGACAGGGATGCATGGAGAGACAGACAAAGAGCAGGAGGTGGGACGGAGAGGCCTGGTGGTGAGAGTGGGGGTGGAAAGGGTTAGCTGCAGATTTGAGCCATACCAGAGCTTTACTGCAGGCCACAATAGCATGTGTGGTGATTATGTTGAAGGCTTGGCGTCCAGGGCCCGAGCCTCCCCCTGAGGACTGTTGTGCGTGGGGGCCGTGGCTTTCGCTTTCAGAGTTTTTCCCTCCTTCTTGTGGCTTGTTAGATGTCTTTGTTCTCGGGGCGAAGGTCAATTTAAAAAGAAATAAAAAGAAATAAGGAAGGCGGAAAACATTACCCAGGCACTTTTTCATGTATGACCTCTTCCTATACCGCCGCCCTTCCTTTACTTTTTGTTGTTGTTGCTGTTGGTTTGTGTTGTTTTTCTGGCAACTCTCAGTGTCACGCGTGGATCTGAAAACCGGCAACGCTCAGGAATTTGCATCCCTGCTAATTTTAGCATCGGGTTCCTGACCAGAAAACACATGCTCCAATTTCTGTCTATACTGGTCTTCCTGCGTCTTTCCGCTGCTGTTCCTCTCAGCAGCACTCCAGGCTTTTGCAGATTATTCTGCTAAGCTAACTCTCCTCCGAGCCCCTCAATTTTCCCATTTTCACCGCATTCTCAACTAGAACATCTTACATGTCCTGATCCAACAAGCTCCTCTCCAGGTTTAATCCATGTGAAAACAAACTAAGCTGCTGGAATTAAACGATTTAATGAACTTGTTTAATAGGATAGTAGCTGAGGAGCAAATAATTATTACCGGCATCAAG